CAATATCTGCCACATGTGTGAATATAGACTTACAAGTGTGTTCAAAATCTGCAACATGTGTGAATATAGACTTACAAAAGTGTGTTCAATATCTGCCACATGTGAGAATATAGACTTACCAAAATGTGTTCAATATCTGCATCATGTGTGAATATAGACTTACCAAAGTGTGTTCAATATCTGCCACATGTGTGAATATAGACTTACCAAAATGTGTTCAATATCTGCCACATGTGTGAATATAGACTTACCAAAGTGTGTTCAATATCTGCCACATGTGTGAATATAGACTTACCAAAATGTGTTCAATATCTGCCACATGTGTGAATATAGACTTACCAAAGTGTGTTCAATATCTGCCACATGTGTGAATATAGACTTACCAAAGTGTGTTCAATATCTGCCACATGTGTGAATATAGACTTACCAAAGTGTGTTCAATATCTGCAACATGTGTGAATATAGACTTATATAGTGCACATCAGGTTTATAATATTACTTACATGACTCTCAATATCTTGAAATGCATCTTGAGAGACAAAGTGAAAATCTCTGCCATCCAATTCACCACTATAAGGGGCTCGTGTTGTGTGTATTATACTAGCAATAAAGCAAAAATGTTAATGAACAAACTTTTATTTATTTATACTTGTGAGAATTGCTGATAACAGCCAAGATACATAAAGCATTGGTTTAGTTAATTTCAATACAATACACTTAGACTGACACTTAACATCAAAAATGTGTAATGCTATGTCAGGAATGACTCATTCTTGTACATCAGTTAGACTCACCCATATCCAAAGTAGTCTGGAAAGTCTTCTACCAGCTTATGAGCTAGTTCTCTTTTCCCAGAGCCAGACGGTCCAACCAGTGTTAGCATAGGATAAGGTGTTTCTATACTAGGTAAAGTACTGTGAAGTAATAAAATTTGGCTCAGAGTGAGCATGTCTCATTTGGTAGATACAGTAGGAAAGTTCTAGCTAAGTGTGTGATAGATAGCACTGGTTACGTATATATTAAAATTGAAACAATCAGTCACGTATAGATGTGGCTTTTCATATGTTATGGAGGAAAAACTAATATTCATTTAAAAACACAAAAATAACTGGCATATATAAGATAGTCATTTGGCATGTAGTGAATTTTGACTGAGAAGGCACAATAAAGAAAGAACCACTGGTAATTACATTACTTACAGCATTTATTTTTGTATATTTTTGATCAAATACATACTTTTAAGGATAGTGGATTTGGATATTTGGTATAATGAAATACAGTATTCAGTATGTACTTTACCTATCATAGATAACAGCTGGTTGGAGTAGAGAAAACACAACATGTTTGATATGGTCTCTGGCTGCTACTACTTTCATTGGTGGATTGAATGCATTCATTGATGTTACCTGGTGATAACAATTGTCACATAATATAAGGTTAACACTACTGTGTCCAATGTATAAAAAAGGAAGTGAATGAATGTGATGTCAAAAACCATGTATGCATCAACAGTTTACATGAGTTCTGATATGCCTTAGAATTCCTGATATAATGCTTTTTACAGAATGGCAAATTCTACTGTTTTTGGTGTTAGATATATCACAATACTTATTATTCATGTTTATAAGAACCTTCCATTACAGGTCACTAGACCATAATGATTGGCCACAACAACATTCATAACAAGCCATGCATGGCACAGTCCCTGTTAGTTATCAAATTTAAGATATATACCATATAATACCTCATATAAGCGCCATCCTGGATTAGGTGCCAGTACAATAGAAAAGGTGATAATTTTCACACCAATTAGGCGCCAGTCGAAGTTGAATGTTTGGGTAAAACCATGAAATTAGCGCCAGTGAATTCCCCATCTGGCCGACATCCGCCTAACACTTGAGCTAATCTTTCAGTAAATGAATGAACAGTGTTTACTCCAGGACGCGCAATTACACGATTCCCGCCCCGTTAAAGTCCTAATATAAACCGTGGTTTATATTATAATGTATCAATTTAAAAATTGGGCTCAAAAGTGGAGTTGAATAGGCGTCAGGAAAGAGTGAAAGGCCTTACTTTGGTTTTAAAATAGGCGTTACGAAATGTTGAAAAATTACAGTCATTCAAATAAAACTGTCCACATGATAAACAAGCAGCCTGTCGGCTGAAATAGCTCCGCTGTTAGCATTGCACATGGCAATTAAAGAACAGAAGATATCATTAGAAAATGAACAAATCTGAGAGAGGTCCACATGTAGTACCTATACCGGTATGTATAATATATCAAAGCAATTGGACTTGCGGTTTTCAACAAGAGGTCGAAAATATCACTTTTTACCAAAAATTACAAAAATATTCATCAAAATTAGAGAATTAAAGATATCATCATGAAATGAGCAAATCTGAGAGAGGTCCACATGTAGTACCTATATATGTAATATCAAAGCAATTGGACTTGCGGTTTTCAACAAGAAGTTGAAAATATCACTTTTTATAAAAAATTACAAAAATATTCACCAAAATTAGAGAATTGAAGATATCATTATGAAATGAACAAATCTGAGAGAGGTCCACATGTAGTACCTATATATGTAATATCAAAGCAATTGGACTTGCGGTTTTTAACAAGAAGTTGAAAATATCACTTTTTACCAAAAATGACAAAAATATTCACCAAAATTAGAGAATTGAAGATATCATCATGAAATGAACAAATCTGAGAGAGGTCTACCCAAGGTACATATACACCAAGTATCAAAGCATTCAGGCTTGTAGTTTTCAAGAAGAAGTCGAAAAAGTAAAACATTGACACGGACGACGGAGGACCACGGACAATCACTCATACGATAAGCTTCGCTCGACAAAGTCGACAGCGGAGCTAAAAAAATACTCAGTATATTGAATGTAATATGCAATTATTTTAATTTTCTTGGTAAAGAAAAGTAAATTCTAAAAGAAGTTTCAAATAAACACGAATTGCATTGCTTAGTAGCAAATGATCACCCTACCGTAGCGTAATCCGTCCATGCTGTGGTTCACAAGTGAATAACTTGCTTGTTTTCGAAGTGTTGAAATTGGTGATTATTATTCAGTAGTGATTATAGTAACGCACGAAAAATAAATCCGTTGAAATGTTATGAAATGCAAGTAAAATTCAACTTTGTTTCACCGTAAGCAAATGATTTCAGTCACATGTAAACGGCCGATACGATACGATATCCGCCATGTCTTCAAATGCACACGAGACGTGTTTATTTACCGGATAGGTCAAGTTGCTAATTAACCGATCAAAATGCTGGATGGTGCCCACGTGTCTGAATTACCATAGCTCATTTAATATGTTAATGACAGTTCAGCGACCTCATGGTGAACGCAACACGAAAGAGATTTACCGATAATGTACTTAATGACTTTGATTTCCATGGGAAAACGGCATGATTTTTTTTTAAATCAAGAAATTATTTGTTTTGGAAAGATAAACTGAGCATTTGAAGAATAATTTAACATTGTTTACAGTGATAACAGCTCATTGTTGAAACGAAGCTTACCCATTCACGTTAGTCACGATAAAAATCATTGAATAGGCGTCCAAAATGATTTAAACGTCCGAAAAATGAAACCAAAATATTTAAAAAAAAAACATGATTTCTTGGTCTCATTTTATTTTAAAAACCAAACTGCCGTTTAACGGCCAAGGGCGAATTTACGGCAGAATCCGGTACATTGTATAGACAGGATTCCTCTGATTGTAAGGTAAGTTACCGTAGTTCTGAGTGTGTGAACAAATGACTGACCTCAATTAAGCGCCAATTGCAACAAAGTTGCCAAAATGTGACCTCAAATTAGCGCCAGACAGAAATGGAAATGTATCAAAGTGGCGCTTATATGAGGTATTATACGGTAGTTTTGTTTATAGTAATATAGCTGGAATATAAACATGTCAGGAATAGGATTATGAGGATTGTTTAACATTTAAATGATTGACATTTGTATCTGATAGTCAAACAAGTATTGAGAGATATTGCTCTGGAACAGCATTCAAAATCCGCCATTTTGGATACATGTATAATGAATATTTAAAATTTGAACATAATCAGTCACAGCAAGTCAGAGATATGGCACAAGAACCACATTCATTTAAAAAAAATGGCCACCAGTCGGCCATTTTCAATCTTATCTGAAAAAAAAAAAATTTATGTGCATCAAGATCCTATAATGTCCAACATCTATACCAAGTTTGAACAAAATGTAAACAGCAGAGAAATGCTTGATTTTGATGATTTTTAGAACAAAAATGGCTGCCATTCGGCCATCTTGAATCAGATCGTGAAACAAATTGATGTGCATATATATAATATCATGTATAATGTATGTGTGAAGTTTGATTGTGATTGGTCCAGGCATTTCTAGGATACAGGTCCGGACGTACACACACACGCACGCACACACGGACGGACGGACGCACAGAGGTCAATACATAAGTCCCAGTTTTCGAGCTGCGTCCAAAAGGGGACTAATAATATGGCCTACACAATGTCAAGTAACCAGATTGCAAAATAAATTAGCTGTCACCTTTTCTTCCACCTCTACTCTCCTTCTGTCCAGCTGTGTCAACTGCTGCAGTCTGTACAATAGACACAAGCGATAATCTTCTAATTCTTGAATTGGATTTCGGAGTAAATTTAACTCTCTCAATAATTTCAAGTCTCTGATGTATTTCACCTCAGTGATGTCATCTATCTGTGGCAAAAAATAAAGTCAAGTTTTAATATTAAATAATGTTGTTCCTGTGCAGATTATCTCTTATGCCATATACTGATATACACTCTTAGTAATCCCTGGTTTCTTGTTGTGAAAAAGTGTTCTTAACTAAATAAAATATATTTGAGAAGGATTATCAACTGGTAAACAATTAATATCTGCAAGTACCGATTAGTGTTAATATCTCTGCACTTAAATATATTTCCAATATTTCTGCCAAATTTACATATCCACAATAATATGATTTGCATAAAAGGGCTATTATATCAATTCAAGCTTTGGTGACCAGCTAAAGGGCTCCTTAAATAATAACACATGCTTGTGAGGGCAATATCACAATTTGTTGCCTGCCCCGAGGGCAGACAACAAATTGTGATATTTATTTTATCACATCGAAGAGACATCAACCATGCACAATCACACCCGCTCTCCTACAAAATAACAACACTTTTATTTGAAGTAGGCAATATTTTATTTTATCACACTACTTAATAACATACATATATTGTTTGATGAAAAAAACTGTGAAATACATGTACACTCAGTAAATGTTATTTTCAGCCACGGATACTCTTTTTAGTAACCGTGTTATAGCGGTGTGAATCACTCAATTTATGGAAAATAACATTTTTAAAATGAATTGAGAAATTCGTAAACGCAAGTTATTTGATCAATCTCAAGATAAAAATGCCGTGGAAGTGACTAAAATTACTTTCGCGCCTTCTATACACAAATCACACAGCTTTAGATCGTTTTGGGTTAGCATCAGGGTGGAACAAGCAGAAATGCTCACAGCGTAGAACGCGTCGCAGCAACCACAGCTGCGACAGCTTTGCTGTACATTTTTGCTTCATATAAAAATTACCCTAAACATCAAAACAGAGTATCTTACTTAATATCCATTCTGGATGGATAAAGATCCTTCAAAACCTTGTGATCAAACCCGAAAACTACAGCGGCCGGGACAGCACCAGTGCTGCGAACGACAATTTGTTATGCGTAGTGTCGTTGGGCAGTAGTTTCAGTGACGTCATCCATGTGATATACCCATGTAATATCCACTTTGCGGGCAATACACCATGTAATATCCATTTTTATTCAATGTCATGTGACTGAATCTCAACCAATCACAGCATGCGCAACAGCAGTGAGATGTGATAAATATTGAATAGCTAAGGGAGCTATGACATCATTAACTTGACCATGAACAGCTAAGGGAGTGCTGTCACTTACCTCATTACCTTCTAAGTCTACCATTTCAAGAACATCATGGTTCTGTAAACCTTTCATGCTGCTTATCAGATTGCCAGCAACATTAAAAAACTGCAAATAAGACAATGTCTCCAAATTTTCTATTTTTTGTATTTCATTGCCTCTCTGTGTAAAGATACCAAAGACAGTGTTAGAGGTTTATGCAACTATTACAACAAGATTGATTAATTGACTACAATTCAAATATTAAAGTAATATTTGGATCAATTGGAATATGCCTTATTATTATACATCTAGCTCTGTAAATACCAGAATACATGTACTCAAGCATTGTAGGCTACGGTACAAAACCTTTACTGCACGATGCACTGGAACATAATTTTCCAGCATTTTGTGAATAACCACATATTATGACAATGAAATTAACAATCCTAAACCATGGATCTGCAAACCTGATTGCGCCATTGCATCATAGGAGATATAATTTGAATGGCTTGTTTGGAATTTTCTAAATATACAACTAATCATGCTTTGTTCTAGAACAATCTATTACCTGATACTGAATCTCATACTTTCAATCATCCAAATAACATACACAGACAGAGCTTGCACACTCACATTGTCAAAAAGAGCAATTTTGCAGGACACTTCAAGAAGATGTATCACTACTGACTTGCATGACAGAAATAATTTAAACCAGCTGTGATTGTTTTGGGGTTGATTTAGCCATAAGTTAGGCTGGAAACTGAGAAACTTACCAAGTTCAAATATTTAATTGGCAAATGATCCAGGTTTGAAATTTGCTTTATCTTATTATGTGCCATACTCAGATAGTTTAGTCGCCTACAAGATGTCAAACCTTGGATTTCACTGATTTTATTATCTGATGGAAAGACATGTTAAGATCCAAAATACACTACACAACATGGTGTAAAAACACAATAAAATATAGTAGATTCAATGACACAAGCTGATCAATGCATATGAAAGAGAAACAGTTAAAAAAAAACAGAATAAGCAAACCATGCATGGCACAGTCCCTGTTAGTTATCGAATTAAAGATATATAATTTTGTTTATAGTAATATAGTTGGAACATAAACATGTCATTGTCAGGAATATGATTATGATGATTGTTTAACATTAAAATGATTGACATTTGTATCTGATCATCAAACGAGTACTTGTCCATATTGAGAGATATTTCTTAGGAACAGTTTTAAATAAACACAAAATCAATGTATATATCTATAACATGATGTATAAAGAATATATAAAATTTGAACATAATCAGTCAAAGCATGTCAGAGATATGGCTTTAGAAGCCCTTTCATTAAAACAAAATGGCCGCCAGTCAGCCATTTTGAATCCGATCTGAAAAAAAGAATGACATGCATCAGGAACCCAAAATGTCTAATGTATGTACCAAGTTTGAATAAAATCCACCCATAAAAGGCAGAAATGCTTAAAATTTGATGATTTTTTAGCACAAAAATGGCCACCATTCGGCCATTTTTAATATGATCGTCAAACCAATATATCTGTACATCTATGACATGATAAATATTTAAAATTTGAACATAATCAGTCAAAGTCAGTCAAAGCAAGTCAGAGATATGACATTAGAACCACATTCAATAAAACAAAATGGCACCCAGACGTCCATTTTGAATGTTATCTGAAAAACAAAATGATGTGCATCAAGGTCCTATAATGTCCAATAGATATACTAAGTTTGAACAAAATCCATCTGTAAACAGCCTAGAAATGCAAATATAGGTTTTTAATTAAGTTAAAAAAAAATGTACTGTGAAATATGTCTTTTTAGCTAGTATGTAGTTTTAGCCAGATTCAAGATATCACTGAAACAGCAATGTGTTTTACATTCTTCTCTTTAAACACAGGAGATCAAAAGGATACTATCAAGATTAAGTTTAGTAAGCGCAGCATGTTCTGATAAATCAGTCATTTCTTCTATCTGGTTGTAAGACAGATCAACCTCCTGCAACAATAATAATAATAATAATAATAATAATAATAATAAAAATAATTGTAATTTCATTCATGGTGGAGTGAATTCAATCATTGTTGTAATTTCATTATGTGACACATCTAACTCAATCAGACACTCACCTGAAGGTTAAATAGTGGAGTGAATTCTAACACTGTTGTAATTTCATTATGTGACACATCTAACTCAATCAGACACTCACCTGAAGGTTAAATGATGTAGTGAATTCTAACACTGTTGTAATTTCATTATGTGACACATCTAACTCAATCAGACACTCACCTGAAGGTTAAATGATGTAGTGAATTCTAACACTGTTGTAATTTCATTATGTGACACATCTAACTCAATCAGACACTCACCTGAAGGTTAAATGATGTAGTGAATTCTAACACTGTTGTAATTTCATTATGTGACACATCTAACTCAATCAGACACTCACCTGAAGGTTAAATGATGTAGTGAATTCTAACACTGTTGTAATTTCATTATGTGACACATCTAACTCAATCAGACACTCACCTGAAGGTTAAATGATGTAGTGAATTCTAACACTGTTGTAATTTCATTATGTGACACATCTAACTCAATCAGACACTCACCTGAAGGTTAAATGATGTAGTGAATTCTAACACTGTTGTAATTTCATTATGTGACACATCTAACTCAATCAGACACTCACCTGAAGGTTAAATGATGTAGTGAATTCTAACATTGTTGTAATTTCATTATGTGACACATCTAACTCAATCAGACACTCACCTGAAGGTTAAATGGTGGAGTGAATTCTGTGGGGGACGATACGTTGCGGATATGGAAATGTAACGAAATATAGTATGCAAAATTATCTGCTACACAATCAGCACCAATCACCACAGAAGAACGACTTAATGAAAACTCAGAATTTATTCACTAACGGAAAACCCGCTGGCAATCCGGAGACTTACAACTCGATATCAACGATATAACACAAATTGTAAGAATGATACAGAATTGGCAGTATGCCCTTGATATACATCGATAAACTCTTGACCGTGTAAGAAAATTAGTGGGAAAACTTCTAATTGGATGAATATAAAAATTGAAACAAAAGAACACACTGCGGTGGTTTCTACCACGTTCGCATTCATGTCGTCGTCTCACTTCAGAATCCGTATTTTGCAACAATGTATATGTCAGAATACAGTATTATTGAACTTGTATAAAACGTAATGAATAAAGCGATTAACAAATATTGCATGTTTCAATTACAATGCTTCACAGATAAATGATTCAGAAATTACTCCGACAAATTCCAACACTGTTGTAATTTCATTATGTGACACATCTAACTCAATCAGACACTCACCTGAAGGTTAAATGGTGGAGTGAATTCTAACACTGTTGTAATTTCATTATGTGACACATCTAACTCTATTAGATGTGGCATGTGACCTAGAGGTGTTAAATCTAGAAAAATAATAAATAAACATGACAAAAGTCTTGAAGCTATGATGACAAATGATAATCAATGTATTTTTGTCCTGGGTGGTGAGGGTGCATTCTTCTAACTTAGCTGTTAATTTAGTACTACCGGTACATATAAGTTGTGAGCTGAAGTTGTTGCAATTCACAAATTTGAGGTACATATCCTAACAGAGAGCAAGTAAATGTGACAAAGTATTCATCTTGAACATACAGCTTATGAATCTTAATAATTTACCAACTAAATAATAATTTGAAAAAGAATCCAAAGTAAAGTTACTACAAATGATCTATTTACCTGTAATGCGATTGTATGGAATCTCCACTTTCTGTAGGTGAATATAGTTTTGTAATATTCCAAGATCAATCAAGTTATAACCCTATATGGTGACAAAACAGAAAATGTATTCAAGTAATAAACCATAGCCCAGCCCAATGATAGTACTGAAATATTATTTAGTGAGTGGTGCACCATAGTGCATGTGTGACAGAGGCGTGTCTATGGTTGAAACAAGTCGTATTGTATTAATGCAGCATAAAATACAACTATTTTGCAATGCACAGTTCATGTTGTGTACTTAATCTAAGTGGGCCATCTTCAACTGAACTGTGAAATCATCAGATAAGGTATATGTGAGATTTGAACAGAATTGGTCCAGGGGTGTCCGAGATACAGCTTTTGACACACAGGGATTATAAAGTAATTACTTGTAAGCAGCATCAGAAGATACATGAATGACTGCTAGCTGCCTAGGCAGCATGTATGTAACCACTGTAAACATAAAAATCTGTTGCTGATCTGAGCTATAACGTTAAACTGATAACAATTGAAGCAATTGAAATAAATCATAAATCAATGACAAAAGCGTATAAATACTTCAATTTTAATAACCATGAAGATATATTAGGAAAGAACAGAAAGAGGTATCCTGATATTACTTACTGGTAGAGTGAGATGAAGGAATGCCTGCATTGTACTACATGCTGTCCTTCCCAGTAGAGACAGACCATTAGCCACTGTGGCTTCATCTAGAACACCATCAGGAGACAACTAACCAAAAAAAAACATATATAAATACACCATCAACTGTACACAATGTTATAGGCCCATTATAGCAAACATATCTTGAGTGCAGAGCATGCCATTTGAGGAGAGTGTCAAAACATGACCCAGAAGCCCCAATTCTAACTCTCAGATGAAAAAGCTTCTCAATTGTAGGAGAATGCATTTTTTAATATCACTTTTCATTCACTAAACATTATGTAGTAAAGCTATATATAGTCAATTGTAGTTTTGTTTTCTTTGCATTGTTTACATTTTACACTGGCTGTACACATCATTTCACCCACTCCAATTTTCTTGTGATCATGACAGCTCATTCATCACTGAGCTTGTAGCATCAACATTTATGAGACACTATTAGCTACATTACACAAAGTGTTTCCACAGGAAGCAATAGCTACATTGTAAGCTATATAGCTATATTATTGGCAAAATAATGTCTCATACTGCAATATTACTCTTCTATACTTTCTTCTATATCTCTGCTCCCTTCTGTCGACACACAGCCAGCAAAGACAAACAAAGGTCACGGCATTGTAGTGGCGTCAAAAACATTGCGTGTGATTCAACAAATAGGGAAGTATTTTGATCCACTCCCCCATTTACATTAAGTGTCAGAAGTATTACAGAGCTTATTTGCAGACTCGCTAGCGAATTGGCTAACTGCTTGGGTTTAGACTGAACAGTTGGCTTCTGAATCTCGTTGGCGCAAACTTGTAGTCGTGCAAATTAGCTGCACAATACTTGTGTAATAATGTGCCAAACAAATACAGGTAGATTAGATAGTAATTAAACCAGTCCTTCTGTACTATGCAGATATTTGGTCAGGTGATATAGTTAAACAGACAATGGATCTGTGCAACTTTGCAGCTCCAATGGAAAAACTCCACACCAAATTTTGTAAGATTTTGTTTACCTGATCTAGGGAGATATCCTATTGTCATAGAAAGCACTAGGCAAATGATAAAATATAGAAGATAAGGATTATGCCAGAAAACACACTAATGAGCGAAGCATATAAAATGCACTTGAAAATGCACACTTTAAGTACACAAAATTGGGTATCCAGTGTGATTCAAATATTAGATGAATTAAAACTTATTATCTAGAAAAATAATAAGTTAAAACACACTGAAGTCTTAATAAAAGACGTTTGTGAAAAACTTGAAGTACAATGTCAAAAAGATGCGAGGAATTTATGCACAGTGACACAAAAGCACAATAAAAATTAACTGACATACAGAAAATTATAGAAAAATACTATCGCTCTGCATGACCAAACTCAGATATGTAAAGGGGTTATTATCACTGGGTT